CCCCAAAACCCCAAAACCCCAAAACCCCAAAACCCCAAAACCCCATATTAGCTGAAATGATAGAAAACAAGTAAATAATTAATCAACCAATATGGCCAATATTGACTTCTGGACAAAAGAAGAAGCTAGATGCGACTTTGATGATCAGTTTGATGAAGAGTCTTCACTCAGTTCACCCAGCACCAAGATCGCAGTTTGTCTGCCTTCGTGAGTTCGTCATCAGAGCAAATTACACTCTGATCAAAAGCTGGAAGTGCTCTCGATGAGGGTATGTGAAAGTGGAAAGCAGAGACTGGGGCTTCAGATCAAGAAGACTCAGAGTGTGGCTGACAAGTCTACACCTTATTCACCAGTTCATGGTAAGGATATCATCCAACTAGAACATATTCATAATCTAATGCTTTTATGGAAACCTCTTCCCTCACATTTCAGGGCTGGATATTCACTTTCCCATAAAGGTTACTTTACTGCGGCATAGTTTCGAAGAATCGGGTTAAGCTCCAACTTCAAAACTGGTTGTTGAAACAGCAGTCTTTGTCTAAATTCTTATTAAATCTTGGCAAAGTGTCTTATGTTATTAGGAGTGACTGAAACTTTTGGAAATTTTAAGTCTCCTTTTCATATCTATGCCATCTCCTAGTATTCCTAAACTAAATTTTTACTGTAGATGTTAAGAAGAGTAAACACAAGGCTCCCAAAGTTTTGTGAGACATTCAGCACGATTCAGCTACGGGGGAAATGAGGCTAGAGAGTCCTGAGAAATCTTTGGATTTCGAGAGTCTTATGAAGGCCACTCCTGTGTAAGTGCAGCTAGTTTTTAGCATAAACAAAAGTTTGTATCTTCTTGTCGATATAATCGATATGTTTCAACCTTATATAAAAACAGTAAAAATCAAGATCATTTGTGCTCAGTTCAAGAATTGAATATTTTGGGTTAAAATTCTAACTGAGTGTTTGTTACTCTTTTCATTTTAAAATTTATGAAATTATGGGAAGCTCAACACTTAGTTTTGATTTTGATTAGTTTATTAAGGAAGCGTATCTAACTTAATTTGTAGACCAGAGCCAAAAGAGTGTGCAAAAATGGGCAATAAAGACAAGAATAAACGCAGATCCAACATAAAAGATTTCTATCAAAAACACAAACACACTCTTTGCAAAACAGTTTTAGAAAATTCCAAGCAAACAAAAGGACTAAATCCTAATAAAGAGAGAAGAAAGAACTCTGAACAGTCCGTCAAGGAACTTCTGGTTTCTCTTGTCAGACGTAGAAGGATGAGTTCCATTGGAGATTTCTGAACTCCTCCCAAAAAGAGCCATTCAGTTATGCGTAAACACAAGAGAAGCCCAGATGACGGGTACTCTATTAGCCCTTTCCAAGCTAGACTTTGCCCAGCCAAACTTAATGACAGGTCAGCCACACTGAAGCAGGAATGAGTACTTGTAACAATGAACGACATTGGAGCGATAGAGTAAACTTCAGGAAACTCTTCTACAAGTGTGCACATAGATACTAATTAATTTGTTAATGATTACCTCCTCTGGCTAATCCATTATCTGACTATCTCCAATTTCTTCTCCATTCTATAACTGCATGAAACTTTCATAGCATAAAGCCTCGGTTGGCTATTTTTAGATCCTTCTTAGAGATGATCATGAGGTGCCTCTGACTTGTGGTCATTAAGCTTTTGGTTATGAGATATTTGTGAAAAGATCCTGAATTTCCTCTCTGGGAGAAATTTAAAATTAGTTGACCACTTTGAGAAGTCAGTATTATTCCATTAATATTAATAATCTGCAGTTTTTATGAAAAATAGTATCCTAAAACACTTTTTAAGCACATGGTATAAATTAGGGTGCACCATTGGAATCAAAGCAGGGGATCTAAGCCTGTTACTCTTTAAATTCACACTCACTATCCGTTTTTAATTAATTTTCAACTGTTTCATCTGAGTGAAATATATCTAGCATCTCAAAAACATCTATACCAGCCCTTCTCGACTTAAATAAGATAGGAAGAGCAAAGCCAGCAATGGTTTAGAATATGACATTGAAGACCTATCAGCTGCGAACCATTATTTTCTTAAGTTTAGAAACAATTTGCATGATTATGTCTGGGTGCGCTCAGAGGCTTAATGAATGTTTAGAAACTACTAGTATTATTTTTGCTAATTATATCATCTCTCAGAGATAGAAGTCTCCTCAAATGTCCAAAAAATTGTATGAAATGCTTGAAGTAAAGCCAGAGTGTAAGACTGGCTTAACTCTTTCAACTCGGATTAGTATTCCAGCTAGATATCTTATCGAATTCACGTAGATACGGTCCTGAAAGAGTGTTTATGGTATCCATTATTGCCAGTCATTCGTGAATTTGAATAAATTATTTTATACCTCATGAAGCTACACTGTCTAACAACAACTCGATGAAAATTTATAAGCCTTATTATTTAAGATCGTTTCATTTTAGTTGAAGTCTCCACAAGCCAGAAATTCATAAACTCGAATTCACAAGTCATCATCCTGGCCTAGCAATAAGGACTAGGCTGAAGGATGACTTTCTGGGAAATTACTAGGTTGATATATCAGAATTAATAATCTGCATAAAATATTCATTTGAAAGCAGTCGTGATTTCCAGCAATAGATCTGCATCACAACCTTGAGTTTATGTATGCTGATGCAGTCACAGTATTTATACGTACTTCTCTCTTCATATGGCTTTATAATAAATATATGACTCTTGCTAAGTGTGAAGGTCACTTCCTAAAATTGAATATTTTTGTGAAGAAAATGAAACCTCTCTTAGTACAAGAATGAGTTTCAAAAAGATTTGTTGTTAAGTTCAAAAAGTACGCAAATCGTAAATTTTGGCACTTTTAGAGTGAATAATTGTTTTATTCTCCTGAGGTCTTCCCACATTGTCAGTCTTGATCCCCATAGCACTAGCATATCATTTTTCTGGGGGTCTTATCTATATGTCTAATATTTTAAAATTTTAGCAATAAACCAGGTTTACATGCTCTTTCAACAAAGTTTAATAAAGAGGTATAGGTTGGCATAGAGCCTGAGTTAGCCTCAATGGTGGCTTGATTATATCAATAATTCGTCAAGAAATTTAGCCGTCAGAATTAATTCTTTGAACTTTTCGATTATTAAGTCTAGAAGAAATAGAAGAAAGCTTCTATGAAGTAATTATGGTTTATCTAGCATGTTACTATCTTAACTGGTGCTAGTTATTTAGTATTTCCTATGTCATAAAGAGCTCTATCTCTTTGCATGTGTAGCGAAATGTATTGATCTTAAAAGGAGCTAGGCTTTGAAGTCTGTCAAGAAATAACCTATTGTTAAAACATCTTGTTGAGCTCAGTGGCAGACTCTCTAATCGAAATTTAATCAAAGAACTCTAATTGAATTTTGAGATGCTTTAAATCAGAAAAGTAATCAACCTTATACTAAGAAGGTACCATTGAGAGGTCTTGTTTATAATTGAAAGAATATGTTCAAGAGGGATGTCATATCTCTTTACTAAAGCTTGGTTATTCCTTTTCTATTTTTGATGATCTTCAATTACTGCTTTGGCTGTTCAGCTAAGTCAGACAAATTTAGAAGTTTACTTGTATCCTAAATATTTCATATAACCGTTCTAGCAGTTTAAGATCTTATGCAAAGTTTAAGAGATGAACAACCATTTAGGATTGATTTAACCAAAATAATATAGAAGGGGTTTTGGGGTTTTGGGGTTTTGGGGTTTTGGGG